CTTTTGGAAGTTTCTGAAAGCAGATTATTCAGAGCACCAAAGTATTTAGGAGAAGCTTTTCCCTAGAAAAACATAATCCAATGTTCTTATAATAATTTAATTGCAGGTGACCTTGCTGATATCACTTCTTGATCTCATTGCTGTTTATTACCATCAGTGATTTCTACAACTATCTGCACCTAGATCAAGGGAAAATTTTGAGTAATCAATCTTAGACAGATGATGTCATTCTAATATTTAAATTTTGCATTTCAACTACTTTGAAATATGGTGAACGTGTTGTGTATGTATATGGCCTATTTACGTGTTCATGTTTTTTAGTATCATGTCATATGGTTGGGACAACATATCATGCAAGGGTGATGGTGGCTTTGTATAGAACTTGAAAGGACACTCATGCATATATTTGCTAAAGACCTTTATGAATACCTTTTTATTACAGTTATGAGTCTCAGAATATTCTTCTACTTTATTATAGTTGCTGAAATGGTCAGAGCTTCACATGCTATATTATGTTCTGTGCATGTGCAATATGTTCATCGTCTTTGTCATCAGAATATATATTGAAGTTCTTATCATCTTTGTCATCGGAATGTGCCAATTTGATAGATATTTGGACGGTTCAATTGTGTGAGATAATAGCTTGCTCAACTGTGTTAAAATATTGGACAGAAAACATAAGGGAGATAGTCATGTAAAAGGTGAAGAGAGCCATGAGGTCATCCAACTAGTTAGCAGACAAGGACTAGGAAAGAACTTTTTTCTTTTTCTTTTTTCACCTTTTGTCATCCAGGTAGTGGAAATCTGAAATTAGAGCTAAGAATAGAAAACTTGTTGTGTTAGCCTCCTGGATTCTGAATGATTCACGGAGTTGGTAGCATGTTTCCATTTGTACCAGCTAATATATTTCTGTCACTATGAAAATTCATTCACAATTTGGTATTCTTGATTGGACAACTTCTGTTAGCCTATATAAATCATTGCACATCTGTTGGAAAAAGTTTAGCTTTCTTTTATTAAGCATTAAATCTCTTCATGAGTTCAATATTATCTTTTTAACTTTCAAATTGTTATTTTTCTCAAGAGAATAAGCTAGTGATGAAGCTATCATTCAACTAAGATCATTTCTTGTAGGCTGAAAGAACTCCACCAGAAGTGCCCTAAAGAGATGGATGCTTATGCAGGCTGCATGAATTACTACACCAATGAGTTCGATTTGTGTAGGAAAGAGCAGGAAGCATTCGAGAAGGCAAGCCTGTTGTCCAAGTAGTCCTGGGAGACTGCGTCCTATGATGTTCAAATAATTCAAGAGAAAACCAATCTTTGGTTTCCTCCATTTTCTTTTGCCACGGGAGGAACTGTCTTTGGCATCATAATAATCCTTCACTGGGAATGATACCTTTTGGTTCTTTCGGTGCCATCCATGCTGGATTTTGTTTCTTCAATTACTTTCTATTTGAACGGTGTTGCTTGAGATATTGAGGTGTTAGCTGGAAAAACAAACTCTCGTGACTGTGTTTCCTTGATTGATTCATCATGTAGCTCTAAGCTTTTTTACGTGTTACTGTCTTGAGGGAAGATCCAAACTTGAAGAATGTTTCTGTTTTCTGATACTGAATCCTGGATTACGGCGACTTCACTAATCTTTTCAAAACGATGTGCAGAGCATACTGTAACAGAGGAGCAGACCAATGAGGATTTCTGAAACCAAACTGCCATAATTAGCATTTCGGATACTCGAAGAACTGCAAGGTATTTATATGTGCATTGTTAGTGCAGATTGTTTCTCAATTTTTTGTCTCTCTTTTCTTCTTTGTTTGTGATCAATGTGATTGCTCCAATAGCTTTTGGTTCCTCCAGTTTTCTCAAGTGTCTTCCAGTAAATAGCACCATCTCTGGCTCAAGTCCATTCCATCCCTTGGTTTGATCATTCATCAATTTCAGTAAACAAATATTTGGAAGTTCATAGCTTCCTGTATTGTACAAATAACATTTCAGATTGCTTATAGCCTCAACCATTCTTGGAACAAAACAATAAACCATACAGCATGATCGGAGTATGATCGTTTTGGGAAAAATAGGCATAGGGACATAAGAGAACTAGAAGCAGATAGACGCTTGCAAAATTAGGTTTTTAATTTGGTATTCGGAGGAATGATCAATCTTCATACGTAAAAGGTGTTGTTATGATCGTTTTGGGGAAAATAGGCATAGGGATGTAGGAAAGTAGAAGTAGATAGACGTTTGCAAAATTAGGTTTTTAATTTAGTATTCAGAGGAATGATCAATCTTCGTACGTAAAAGGTGTTGTCATGTTAACTTGAATGATTGATGTTTTTAATTTGGTATTCGGAGGAACGATCAATCCTCGTAAAAGGTGTTGTCATGTTAACTTGAATGATTGATGTTTTTAATTTGGTATTCGAAGGAACAATCAATCAATCCTCGTACATAAAAGGTGTCATGTTAACTTGAATGATTGATGTTTTTAATTTGGTATTCGGAGGAACAATCAATCCTCGTACATAGTAAAAGGTGTCATGTTAACTTGAATGATTGATCGTTGATTGAAAGAACTTACGGTGTTTGAGGCAAGTGACTCCGCTTGACCAAGGATAAGGTCCTGCAAGTCATCTTGACCACCCAATGCAACCGTGAGCTTCTTGTTAGAGTTTTTATTCCTCGGTTACCACATTGTGCATGATGAACAGCAAGAACAGTGCAGGGCTGTTGAAAGCAACACTGTGAGCGAACAGTTCCAGGGAAGAACGGAACTTTTGCCGTGAACAATCACCAAAATGGAAGGGGAGACGAAACATCCTCATCTCGTAATACTCAACCACGAGACTCTAATTGCTTTGTATCCCTTGCTGTGATCAATAATTGAAGCCATCTCTTGTCGAGCTTCACATTTTGATCGTTCTCTTCCCACTTCACTATATAGTTGTCTCAGCCAATCGACCTCTGCAGGCAATCAGTCTTCACTTAGACAATGCATCCCTTTCTACCTCAGTTATCCTTCTTCCTCATCCTCCATCTCTACTTTCTGCCGTCATCCTCTCTCTTCGATGGTGATCTCATGCTTCCAGGTCCAACTATGTCATTGGAACACTTGGACCCCACCCTCCCCCCCGCCCTCCCTAGCCAGCCCGCGTACTGCTCGGTCGTCGTCCTCCAACAGGACTTCGCCGACACCGTCGGTTCGCCGCCGGTCTCCGTCAACTACACCCACCCCCCGGACTGCCCCTTCCCTTGGACGCGCGTGGTCCTCGGACTGTCCCTCGCCGTCTCCGGCCCCCAGGAGTCCCGCGTCGGCGCCGTCTGGATCGACGGCGTCGAGGTCCTCCGCACCATCACTCCCATCCCCATGGCCCCTGGCGCCTTCTGGCGCATCGACAAGGACGTCACCCGCTACGCCGCCCTTTTCCGCCGCCTGGCAAACGGTGGCGGGGTCGTGTCCATGATGCTTGAGAACTCTATCGCCGTCCTACCTGGCGTCTTCAGCGCCAACGTTTCCCTCCATTACTACCGCGGACCGCTCGACGACGGCCAGGCGGCGTCGATGCCCGACGTGGCGCACCCCTCTATCAGATCCCTCTACCACGAGCCCGCCGACGTCGTCCTCCCCGTCTCCAAGCCCGATGGGCACTACGGCTCCGGGTTTTGGCATCGTATCGACAGCGAGACCGGCGTCGAGGCCACCACAGTTGTCATCCCCCGAAACGCCTACCGGGCCGTCCTTGAGATCTTTGTGTCGTATCATGGCGACGAGGACACATGGTACACTAATCCGCTGCGATCAGAATATCTTCGCCAGCCTATGACGGCCAAGTTGTCGGCTTCGCGGGCCAACGGCGCGTTCCGCCAGGTCTATGCGACCATCGACGGGCGGTACGCGGGCGGGCGCGTGCCCTTCCCGGTCGTCTACCCCAGCGCCATCAACCCCTTCTTCTGGTCCCCTGTGACGGCCATCGGCGCCTTCGACATGCCATCCTACGACCTCGACCTCACGCCGTTCCTGGGGCTGATGCTCGACGGGCGGCCGCACGAGGTGGGGCTGGGCGTGCGCGGAGCCCAACCGCACTGGCTCGTGGCCGCCAACCTCCACCTCTGGATCGACCACTGGTCGGATGCGGTGCAGGCCGGCCCCCTCGAGTATTTCGCGCCGGCCATCCAGATGAACCGCAACGCGCAGTGGCGGAACGTGGACGGCGAGTCGGAGGTCGGGGCGGAGGGGCTCGAGCGGTTCGCCGGGTGGGTGAGCTCGTCGAGGGGCAATCTCACCACCCAGGTGCGGCACAAGACCAAGATGAAGAGCGAGGTGGAGGTGCAGAACCGCGGAACGGTCTCCCAGAGCGACTTCATCTTCAAGGAGCGGACGACGGTGACGGTCCTGAGAGGGAACCAGTGGATGGCCCGGGTGCAAGCGGTGGTGGAGGCGCCCATGCAGGTGCAGACGACGGTACAGAACGCGGCGGGCGCGCCAGCGCTGCAGAAGACGCGGTTCTTCCACCAGCTGATGCAGACGGTGAGCCTGAACGAAGGACAGTCCGGGGCGACGACGACGAGGGAGCTGACGGACCGGCAGGACGCGGAGGGGTCGGCTATGACGAGCGGTGGATGGGGGAGCGGGAAGAGCCGGTCGGCGTACCGGTACAAGGACGGGAGCAGGTGCTACGCTCGCAACGTGAACACGGCCGGCGGAGTCGTCATCCAGGACAAGAAGGCCTCCTGTGCTGCCATGGCCGGCGTCGCCTGAGAGAGAGGATGCATACGCTTGCATGCATGCATGCATACTCCTTTTTAATAAGATTTCCTGCTGCATCTAAATAAATAAATTATAGTATATTAATTAATGAAACATTACACGTATTACTTTTCTCCATTTTAATTTTGCAATATACTTTAATACATTTTTCTGATAGAACTTTTCGATTCTTTCTGTTTTCTGTTTTCTGTTTTCTGTTTTAGCAACTACCTCGTTGAACTTATAACGGAAACAAAAACGGAAATGGAAACACGAAACAAAGCGACGGAGACAGCAGACGACAGAACGAATCGAAACCCCAATATCGACCGAAGCGAACACCAACGCTATGATCATTATCTCTTCCTCGCTCCCGATGATTCCCCCACTTGATTTCGATCCGATGTGACGCCTACACTCTCCCTCTTCTCTGAAGTACTGCACGGGTGCACGCCTCTTCGATCTTGATTGCCTCTTCTCTCCATCAAAGTTCGATCTTTGCCGCCTCCATGGCCACCGACGCCCCCGCCAAGTTCCGCCGGCCGGAGCTCTTCCCCTCCGCCGGCGACCTCAGCGTCGCCCAGCACGACGGCCTCCGCTTCTGGCAGTTCATGGTCGCCGGATCCGTCGCCGGCCTCGTCGAGCACACCGCCATGTTTCCCGTTGACACCCTCAAGACCCGGATGCAGGCGGGGTCGCCGCTCGGCATGCGCCAGGCTCTCCGCGCCGTCCTCAGCCTCGAGGGCACCTTCGGCCTCTACCGCGGCCTCGGCGCCATGAGCCTCGGCGCCGGCCCCGCCCACGCCGTCTACTTCTCCGTATATGAGCTCTCCAAGGAGTCCCTCGCCAGGGGAAACCCCAACAATCCGGTCGTCCACGCTGCCTCCGGGGTGCTTGCTACGGTCGTCAGCGACGCCGTGTTCACGCCGATGGACACCGTGAAGCAACGGCTGCAGCTGAAGGGTAGTCCATACAGAGGGGTTATGGACTGCGTCGCCAGGGTTCTGAGGGAAGAGGGTTTTAGGGCGTTCTTCGCTTCGTACAAGACTACCGTGGTGATGAACGCCCCTTACACCGCGGTGCACTTTGCGACATATGAGGCGGCAAAGAGGGGGATGAGGGAGATTTCGCCGGAGATTGCAAGCGACGAGCGACTAGTCGTGCATGCCACTGCTGGCGCTGCTGCGGGTGCCTTGGCGGCGGCTGTCACCACACCCCTCGATGTGGTCAAGACACAGCTACAGTGTCAGGTAAATACTCCAAGCCAATATATACAACCAGTAGCTCAAAGGAAGAATCTTTATGCTCTTATTATAAGCAGCTCTCATCCATAATATTGGTTCAATGAAGTTGTGCTGAATCTATGGAGTATTTTGTGTGCCAACACCGAGGCGTTTGATTTTGTGAACACAGCTATTTGTATTGTTGTGTGTTGCTGTTAGTACCTTGAACAAAGCTGCAAAATTGTCACCTGATGCATCAGATTTGTACAAATAAGGACTAGAATGATTTGGAAACCATATGGGCACACTATAGCTTCAAATCAGTAGATTTAATCATTATTATGAAAGTTAAGATTCCCTGTGGAGACAGCCACTAGAAGGAGGCATTTATTCTTCATGGCTTTTCAAAGTCTATGCTTATGATTATGGCCTTTGAAAGTTATGGAACATATTGATGGCTCATGAAAGTCTATGCTTATGATTTTCAAATTATTTTACATTTGCCTTAAGGAAATAGATTATGTAGAATTAACTGTTGCACAGTAGCTCAGTGTAAGATTCCTTTAGAGCACTGAGTCCATATGTGAGTGCATCCTTTTCACATGGATCTTTTGACAGATGGAAGCCAAGACAATGACTAGATTCTTATGCTCAGCCTCAAAGAAAATATGCTTTTGCAGAAATCTCTGAAAATAGACCAGCAAAAAGGTTGAGCAAGAATTGAATTTTTATGAACAGAATTTTAATGTGGTATCATCATAATTCTGAGTTATGGGTTCCTTTTACTTACCTAATTTGAGCTGTGGTATCATCCTTCTTCACCAAGCTTGCTTTCCAAGATATTCTCCCAGTCTCGGAGACTAGGTAGGTTTGTTGTTCTGCATAATAGGATAAGCTCTATAGCTCCTAAAGGATAAAGAGTATTACTGGTAACTAGAGTACTAAGATATCGAAAGAAACACTACTACAGGAAGCTACACTTATGGCAAAAGGAAAATTGGTGTTACTTTGTTTTGGGTTTGTAGTTAGTGATATGTGTCATCTTTGTGATATATATATGTCTTCCATTTGCTCGTTTATGAAAAAAGATTATATTGTCAGGATTTTCTTAATGCTGTTTTTCTGGCTTTCTGCACCTTTTGACTTCTTTCAATTCCTCAGTTTCATTTGACTCATTCTGCCACACTATTTATATTATTAGGTTCTCTATGATTTATTTTTAATTATTGGATAGTACATTTGCATATTGAGCTTTTTTCTGCTATTTGAAGTCGAAGTTGGCTCTTTTTTTTCTTTCTCGAGCAGGGTGTTTGCGGTTGCGATAGATTTTCAAGCAGCTCTACAAGTGAGGTTATACGGGCTATAATAAGGCGCGATGGGTATACTGGCCTGATGAGGGGCTGGAAACCTAGAATACTATTTCATGCACCAGCTGCGGCCATTTGCTGGTCTACTTATGAAGCAACCAAGTCATTATTTCAAAAGCTGAATGATGAAAAGTGACCATCTGTCATAAAGAAAAATTTTTCCCCCTTTCGGGTAGTTCTAAATATTATACAGAAACCTACCTTGGCACCAGGATATCTCATAGTCTTCCCCCCCACCCCCCTTTCAATTAGTTCTAAGTCTTATACAGAAATCTGCCTTGTTGCCTGCTAAAAGCAAGCATCTATAATGCATGCTGTTGTGGCTGTTGTTGTCAATGTGGACTTGATATTTAGTTATATTAAAAATTATCTGTGAAATTTTCTTCTTGTTAAAATGAATGCTAATGATGCTTGGAGGCCAAGTTGATATGGATTATCATTCTATCATGTAACTAATATGCAATCATTGGACTTGTGCCAAATAAGAGGGACTCAAATTTATTGACCAGACATGGTAGCAATTATAGTCTCAGATCCAACTGATACTCTTGTTTGGTGATCCAAGAGATGATGTTACTCTCTTTTCAAGGCATGTAAATGGTGGTTCATCAATTGTAGGCTTGTAGTATTCTCAAGCTATGAAGTGTATCATCTTTCGAATTGCTTTGCTATATTGACTTCTTGTTTCTCTGGGTTATGTACTTTGTTATGGCACAATGTTTTTGGTTGTCATGGTGGATTATAGAATCCAACATGACAACAGTAAAACAGGGCTGCACAAAAGCCAACAACAAATGATGCCTTTAGCTACAAGTATATTGGAACATAAAGAGTAAAGGTAAGCATTTAAATGTTCATGTATAAAAGAGACCTATGAAAAGTTCTTTTTGGTATATATTAAACTGTATACAAGACATTATTACATAATTCGAACATGAAACCTATCATCTGCACGATAGCGAACAATGATGACTATAATTAAAATGATCACAAAAGTATTATCATCTGAAAATAATCAAAAAGATCATAGAACTGCAAACTATTACATGAAAATGCTGTCACATGGTCATTAAATCGGAACAATGGCGCTATAAAATTTTTGATAGCTTCTCTTTGTAATCCAATCATGAACAGGATTAAAACTTATAGACAAAAGATAACATGCAATTCCCACACACTCCCTCAAAGCAATTGATTACAATGACAATCACAATGTGTAGCACTAAATTTCAGCATAGAAAGGTGTCTAGGAAGGAAACAGAAACCTTCCTCAGTTAAGATCAGCAAAATCACATTAATTATGATACAGATGACTATGAACCAGGATTCAACAAGCCAAATGCACTTCACTACAACACTTTGCTTGCTCTTATTCTATAAAGTGAAATGACTCATTTTTTTTGTCACCTTAGCCACCCAGCTAAAGTATGCTTGAACTCAGACTCTGTGATCATCCAGCAAGAATTAGCAGTTATTCTTCCTTTCTCTACAAGGGTTATAATTTATAAACGCACTGAGCAAATATGTGACAACGATATCCTATGAAGCCAAGAAGATCAGGCATATAAATAGCTTTACCTGTCAGTAGATCTTTGCTAACAGCTTGTCAAAGTGAAAAAGGTGTTTTCGGACGCGATATACATGGATTGTATACAGCACAGCAGCTGATGATACTAACAAGAATGACAAGAGCACCAATTGACCAAAATCCTGTTGAGACAGAATTAAACTATTAAGAAGGCAGTGCCACTTACAAGTAGTTATTCTTATGAAGGAAAGCTGTGTTCGGTACAAATTAGAGATGATGTACCTTTGGATCTGAAATGACTATCCCCATCACAAAAGTCAGCAAGTCTAACATAGACTGTAATGAATTTTGGACCCCTCCCACGATGCATCGATCAGATTCAGGAACTTGATCCTGTTTCATAAAGGAGTCACAGACAGGTTATTGTATGTTACTAATCAGAAGGAACATCATTGAAGCCTTCATGAAGTATGACAGAACCAGATTCACTGAAATATATCTCTTGCCAGCCTTGGCACGTAATGTCTTCAATGATGCACTACTAATACCTCGAGGATTAAGATCACATATGAAATGATATGCATCTGAAATGACTTCTACCTGCATTTGCTGCATAACAGCAAGATCAAACATCCACAGTCCAAGCCGTGATGCTGCAACTCCGCCCATTAACATCCAAGCTGAAGTTATGCTGTTATGCATCCAAACAGAAGCAACACATACCAGCAAGAAGCACCACTGGAGCATATAACCAAAACAATGACTCACAGTTAGTTAAATTATCTCAATATATAGTGCACACTGGTTAACAAATTTTGCAAGTCAGTCCCGATATTCTTGTATTTGGAAAGGCTAATGGCTAAATCCTTTAGTTTCTCTTTTGTGTCCTGATTCAATAAGCACAGGTTGTACTTGAGTTTTCAGATAATAAAAAAAATGTTTCTTGAAAAACTAAGGTATGTAATAGATTTCAAATGAAAATACACAATTAACTTTCAGCTATGCAAATCAAGTTATGAATTACCAAATCTACTAGACCACAACAACAGCACATTAATTAGGACAGGAAAGAAAAATGTCAGTTATGGATTCATGGCCTTTAACATACATATGAACGGTCGATCTAATATATTTTTCCATACAATTAGTACCGAAGAGGGAAGTGATACCTGACTCCAAATTGACCATAATCCAGTTCGCAGTGTTGATATATGTGAATGTACAATTGGGTATACTACTGTAGCTGCTATTCCTACAATAGCACTTATACCACGTGCTAAGCCGATCACATATGCAGGTATACCTTTCCACTCCAAAGTAGCTGTCATTAATGTTCCAAAGCTGTGAAGAATAGACAATGGCATGGCTTAAGCAGCTTCACTTAACAAAATCAACAGTATGTTTCATGATAAACAAGTAAGAACAGAAAATTGAAGTGTTCCATCGATTGGTAATGATCATTACATATGAGACAAATGTCTTATGTGTTTTACATTAATAACTGACTAGGAGGCAACAAACTGATCATTTTGGAGCCTAAACAAAAGAGTAAAGAAAGTGAAAAATGACATAAAAACAAAACTTTTGGAAGCTTAGGTCCATTGGTTGTACGGGGAAAGTTGGTTATGGTAGGCATTGGCAAAGAAAACAGTGGTCAATGAATAAGTTCAAAATGGCATATCTAGTATTTATTAGCCAATATATTGTTATAACAAAATAATTATACTCAAGAATTTCATAACTATGTAACAAAACATGATCCCAATATTTCAACATGAGCTACCAGCTAACCTCAAGTTAGTTTATGGAGCAGAAAGAAGGTCACTTGTGCTTTAATATAACATTGTCTTGTAATGAGATGTCCAGTCAGCATATTAATCATCCCTAGAAACCTTTCTTTGTTAACTATTTGTTCAACTATCTTGCTGATTAGTTCAAGTTTACCCTGCAAAGAGTCACTAACTCTTTCCAATAAAATCAAACTGCTCCTCAAAAAGGTCTAAACCAGAGCTCAATAAACAAAGATTGGAGCAATCAACAAAACATGTATGCATACACAAGAATTTTCTATCTACAAAGAGGTGGAAATTCCAAGAGGCAGTCACCTTAGGACTGTAAAATACAATAAAGCCAGAGCAACTCCTGGGAGAACCACTTCCTGTCTGGAATATATAACCCAGGCATCAAAGCAAGGAATTGCTGAGAGCCTTTCAGCTACAGTGATCTTCTGATCGGATTCTTTTGTCACTGTACTCCTTTCTTCAGGACAAATGCAGTTTTCATTCTCCTCAATAATTGATGAGCTAGCTAAACAATCAGTTGGAATGACTTTTGCATTTCTCCTTTGACTACTTTCACCAAGAGCAGGAATACCATTGTATACAGATGTTAGCAACCAATACTGTAGCCAAACCGAGAGTGTATTCCACAGAGCCAAAATCACTGCTGAGGCTTCGAGTGATATAAAGCTAATAATGAAGCCACTGAAAACAGGTGCAAGTAGTTTACAGATTAGATCGATCCTTCGAATGACTGAGTTCATCTTTGTCAGGACCTCCGGCCGTTGCCCAGTAGAAATTACTACCACCCTGTATTTAGAAACAAAATGAAGTTAGTAAGAGATATCATGGACATACTATTCATGTTCTAGTGGGGTAATTTGACAGGAATCCCTTAAGCCTTGAGATGAATCCGACAACATGCTTGATGAATAAAGAACAAAGGAATATGAATAAGACTGCTAATGCCTAAAACTGATCTCTAGTTTAAACAGCTTGAATATGATGGAAGAGAAAGTAATAAGAATAAGAACCACAAGATTTGTGCCCTGATACTGTGATACAATGCCTAAAGTCATCTATGTGATATTTTTCAGATAAATGTTGAAGTTCACTAAAAAGGACCGACTGTAGTAGAAAACTGTCATGGAAAAATATCCAAAGTTTACTTGTCAAGAGTTATGATGATTAAGATAGCACTAAGCGTGAAATATATAAATTGCACTTCAAGATCAAGAAAAAATGAAAAACCGAAAAGAGATGAATACAGATTCCCTATTTGAAAGCATTCTTCCATCAAAAACCTTCAAATTTAGTTTTTTGTTGAAACTGATGAGTATGAAACTTAGTATGCACTTAAACACTGCTTTCACATAATTTACTAGCAACCTCTATTATCTTTTATTCACGCTTTTCACAACCCTATTGGCACAGACAAGAGAATTTGTAGGTCAGAGAATAGTATGGAAAGCAGCAAGTAGTAACCAGTAATCCAAAAAGGCATATAGGAAGCAATAAATAGAAATCAAAGACTGCACATATACAACCAGCATTGGTGAAATTCTCCCCTGGAACTATTATACATATCTTTGTCTTTCATTGATGAACAGCTGCATTATGGACTTGGAGGAACGTAAAGATTGCAATGCAAACACAGAGAAGCCACAAGAGGAGGTTCCATACATTTTATTAAGATTAGCAAAGAATAAAGTGTTCAAGGACCAGCATGATACAAATGTGCATCATACTAAATGATAAGTTATACAAAACCCATACCATTCTCTTTCAATCAATATGGTACCAGCAAGAGTTGAGAGTTTCCCAACAGCTCCAGAAATGTTAACCACAACAACTAGTAGCATGAAGTTAACAAATGCGGTGGACATCAAACCATTGTAGACTAGTAGCACAGTCACCGAGCATCCAGCAACCACAAAAGACAGATTTTGGGTCAGCAACCATAGCCGAAGAACCTGTCAAATGAATAGGCAGTGATCGAGTCATCTTACAAATCTATATAAACCAACATCTTCTTGGAAAATTAGGATCAAAAACCAGGAAAGCCTAATCACCTGTAAGTAGGTCAACTTGTCTACCAATGTTCCAACTATGGAACCAAATAATGCTGTAGAAGCAGATTCAATCACACCATAAAGAGCAGTGAAGAGCAAAGAATCTGGCCAAATGTTTATCATGTACAATCCCACCGAGAATTCCCACATTCTGCAACCATTTGGAAGCCAATAATACCTTTCAGTGAAAGGAATCAGAGAGAGTACAGCAACAAGAAAAAAGCGGGGGCTTCTCTTAAGAAGGAAAACGAAGATAAATGTTTTGTGCGCAACAATTCAACTTAATCGGCTGCAACTTATTGTTGCTTGGCATAAATCCGAAGCAAATTCGACTATTACATGCCGTCCAATTTCATTATGCAGGGGAGAACCTTTCATCAAACAGCTGAGGTGCACCAGAGAGACTTCATACATCACAAGAGCAGGTGGTAGTCATATTACCTGGCACCCCATCTTGCAAGAAAATGGCCAGCATACATCCGCCCGATGAGTGATGATGGATAAAGAGGCTGCTGCGAAGACCCCGGCAGCAAAGCCTCCCTCATGTTGCCTTCCATGCCACCTCTCCTCTTCCTTCGACGCTCAACTTCCTTGTGCTCGGACTTGTTAGATGAGACCTTTCATGGAGTGCTGCCTCTCTTGCGTATGACCGATGCCTCAAATACTGAAGAAAGCACAAGACATCAAGGAAAACCAAAGGGACATCTGAGAAGACTGCCTGCCTGTTTGGGTAGCAGGTGGATTTGGTGCATGCAAAAGATCTAAGGAAACTACTTGTATACAACCTCACTGCGATCAATAGATAACTTGGTATCTTCTTCTAACATATGAGAGAACAACATTTGGTGATGATTTGTCGGATCTGACGAAGCATCTTCGCCGCCAAAGAATATAAAAACAGTGAAACCTGTTGTCGTTTTCTGCATCATATATATTCATGCCTTACTATTGTCATCATCATGTGAGAGGTTTGACCTGCAAAGATTTTACGCAGTTAGATCTGTGATCTATCTTAGATTATCTAGAAAACAAAAAGATTTGGAAGCGGTCAATGATTTAATTTTAGCTATTTGACATTATTATTGCATATAAAAGTTTATCTCGAGTAAATGAGGTTAGTTTATTTAGCAAAGCTGCACATATATTCTTATAAATTACTGATTAATTAAGACGTGATCTGAAGGGAATTAATTGATTTTAATTCACCATAATTACTACTTATGTATGTGGGATTTCGAGGGTGACGTTGCAGAGAGCAATACTTTCGCTGACCAGTTCCAGTCACTATTCGGACCCACCAGCTCTGCACCGAGCATCCAATCACAAGGGAGGTACGATCTTAGGTGAATACGGAAACGGGTAAACATATGCGGGCTAATTACGTAATTTGGGTTGGGTTGGGTTGGGTTGGGTGTAACTCTCAGCCCAACAGAAAAGGATTGGAAGTCCGAACCTCGTCCGGTCATCTTACCGCTCGCAAGCGAGAGCGTTAAGATCCTTGCATCCAGGCTTAGCGTGCTTATTCTCACCATCGGTGACCAGAATTTACCTGTGCAAGAGAGGTTGGTTGGCTTACCGCCTCTGTAGTTTACCTCGCCGTTCAAGATTCTCCGTCTCAGTTACCTACAGATGGGACCCATGTGAGATCTGTTCAAAAGGCAGGTAGGATCTTGGGGCAATGATGAAAACTACATTCAAGCACATGGTGGAAATCAAAATATTATGTAAATAATATTATTCGGCCCCACATTTGTCGATTCAATTTATCGAAATTTTATTTTCGATTCGTCTCTCTCACTAAAACTTATTATTGAATTCTTTAAAATCGTTAGAAGATTCTTCTTGTTTGTGATGTGTAAACATAAAACTCTTGATCATCTTTCTATTACTACGTAAAAAATTTTAATATCAGAATTAATTTTAAATAATAATATATTAAGATCAACATCGTGTATTCTTTTATTCCATTCTGAAAATTTTTATTTTATCTATAAAGTTACTCCAAATGATACCATTATATAAGAAACTATATTTGTATACGAAACTCTATGTTTTTTTATCGATTGATAATCATAATCAAAATCAAATCAGATCTATAATATATATTTTAATTTAATAAAAATAAAACTATATAATCTAATAAATATATATATTTATTTATTTATTTAAGAAAAGATGATATCGAAAATTAAAAATAGAATAAGTAAGCATTCCATTGCCTTATATTCAGATGTCGGCACACGATGGATGGACAACATCATGAGCTGGCCAAGTACCGAATCCATGCGTGCACATAAATAATTGAGTTGAATTGATATCATGATCCACATCTCGTCGTGTCGATTCAGAAGACAGCAGATGCCGACTCAATCATAAGGCATGGGGGCAGAGAGAGAGAGAAGAGGGTGCTTCTTCATCGTCGTCATGAGGCAATAATTGGGAGATGTTTATGAGCTCCAACTCAGTAGCTCATTCCAATCATCAAGAGAAGTGTGCTGTGACAAAGATGGGACCTAAGTATGTGCGCAGATGACAAGGAGGATAGCTGAAACTATTCACAGCTGTGTGTGGGTTATGATATGATGCCCCATCAACGCTACAATCTCCACCTTCGATGGAGTTTGAGATGATGCATGAACTCAATGGTTGTCACACTCGAAGGGAGAAAAAGTGATGGTAGGAAGCCATCCCCATTACATGACAAATAAACCTATCAATGTTTGATAGGTTCTCACTACTCCTTTTAATTCCAATCTACCATGATGAAGAATTCCCCACATTTAAAATTGGCTTTGCTTCAAAACATCTCATAATTTAATTTTATGATTCTTATGTTGATTATTTTTTTATATTTGTTATGAATTCTCTAAATTATTCTTTTAATATCTCAAGCAAACCTATAGATTACTCTTGTGCAGTAAAGAATTTGATTTTATCTTTTATGAATATAGGTAATAAGAAGTGTCAAATTACTTAGTTCTTATATCGATTATATATATTTATTTATTTATATTATGAAAGGTAAGAGACAAAGATGAGATTCGAGCTTAATACTTTACGATGAATCATCAAATATTTTATCAATTAAATTAGTATTTATATATATTTTTTTTTCAAAAAATAAGCGATGAAGGTGAGATTGGTCCAAAATCTCATGATTATTTGTTAAAGTTTTTATCAGCAAATTTAACTTGTACCTTTAAAAATATATCGAATGAGATTTAAAACTTTTAAGTAAAAATTATATTTGATGATGTTTTGAATCCATATATATATATATGATCAGATCAATATTTTATTATTAATCTTTGAATTTATGAAGTATATCTCATTATCAAGTTCTTTTTGATATTCTTCATAATAAAAATCGATTTTTGAAATAATGTGAAAATCGATAATTATCATTTTCTAAAATAATACTCTAGAATGATGATTTGGAATCATGCATATAATAATGATTTTATATTTTATATACATGATGATTTGGTATTATATATGCAACACTAACGATGCATGTAATGATGAAATATTCATGATAAAATAATCATTTTGACATTCATGATTTTGAATTTTCATTTATACTATTTACCTTTGTCATAATTTAAAAATTGATGTAAAGGGTCTTCCCTTCTTTTTGACAATGACAAAGGAGGAACAAAACTGGTTAGAAAACAAATTTGCTAGCTTGCACAATTTGAAAAGAGGTAAACCTGCTAGCATGAAATATTAATTATAAATATTTATATAAGTAAAAAATATTTTATTTATATATATAATGACCAGACCAAACCTTCAATATGATCAGATCAATTTGGTAAGTAAAAATTATATTTGATGATGTTTTGAATCCGTATATATATATATATATATATATAAACTATATATATATATATTTATATATATATATATATATATTTATATAAAAAAAAAAAAGTATATATATATATATATATAATGA